TGACAACTGCCTTGCTTAATAACAGAAATAGTTAGAAATTCTGTTTATATATAGCATCGCAGAGCAAACAAAGAGTACAGTCACCATGTGCTTTACTGCTCAACTATTTTAACTGTAACAGGAAACTCTACTTAGAACAAAAGAGCATAGAGAATATACCATAGATCCAAACTTGTATACACTGCCATCTACTGGCTGAATGCTGCTGTAGTTGTTCCATAAAAATATATTCCAACAACGAATTCCAAGAGAAATTTTGGGCTCAATTGTGGTTGTAACTTGAATATTATTTGTACGTGTACTTGCACGGGTAGTTCTTGACTTACGATTACTTAGCAACCATTTGAAACTACAACAGACCTCTCCATGGCTACTTATGACTTGGTTTCAAAGTTACGTGATCATTTCATTTCATTTCAGGCACTCAACTGTGACCCCGTGTTTATGGCCATTTGCAGAGTCCTGCATTCACTTGACCGCAATTTATGACTTTTTTTTCCAAAACCCAGTATTTACTCCCATTTTTCAGCAAAGATGTTCCATTGCAAAGAGTAGATTTGCTTAGTGACGACCACAAAAATGGATGTGAAATTGGTCTGGTAACTTGATAACCATCATGATTTATGACTGTAACAGGCAGGTTCCATTACAGTCGCAAGTGGAGGATTATCTGTATAACTATCTATATAAATATATATATCAGATTATATAAAATAAGTTTTTTTTTTTTTAAAAAAAGTATTAATAAGATGGCAGTATCAGTCAAGGGAAAAGCCGACAGTGAGAACAATCAACCCATGGAACAGAAGTTGCCTTCAGAAGTTGTGGGAGCTTCATCACTGGAAGCTTTCATGAAAAGACTGGACTGCCATCTGTCAGAAATGGTGTAGGGCAAGGCACGCGGACTGGATCTGGCCCACGGGGTGCTTAGATCTGGCCAGCGGGGTCACCCTGGAAACAGCAAAGGACCGGACCACAGTGCCTCTGCCACCAAAAATGGAGCTCAGGAGGGCTGTGTGTGGCTCTCCCGAGCTCTGTTTCCACTGGCAGAGGGTTGCAGGAGGCCATCGCAGTCAAAAACGGAGCTTGGGAGGGCCATATGTGGCTCTCCCGAGCTCCATTTTCACCGGCAGAGGGCTTCAGGAGGCTGTCGCAGCCGGAAACAGAGCTTGGGAGCCCGTTTTTGCTGGCAGAGTGCTCAGGGCGCCATAGGCGCCCCCGAGATGAGTGATGTCAAGCTGGCCATGCCCACTCTGGCCACGCCTGGCCACCCCTGAGGTCAAACACAACCCTGATGCAGCCCTCAATGAAATCGAGTTTGACACCCCTGGGGTATGGTCTCCTGCTTGAGCAGGAGGTTGGACTAGGTCAGTGGTGGGTTTGCTACGGGTTTGCCCCAGTTCGGCCAAACCCGTAGCAAAGGTAAGTGAAACTCTCCACTGGACTAGATGATCTACAAGATCCCTTCCAACTCTCTTATTCTGTTCTGTTCTGTTCTGTTCTGTTCTGTTCTGTCCTGTCCTGTCCTGTCCTGTCCTGTCCTGTCCTATCCTATCCTATCCTATCCTATCGTATCCTATTTTTTCTATTCTAGTCCATTCCATTCCAGCCTCTGAAACAGCTTAGTCTTCAAAGTTTCTAAAAGAGCTGCAAAGAGGGAACCAGCCTGATCTCTATACAGATATATAAATTTGCTAAATAAATATAAATTTAAAATATTAAAACATCTTAATATGCAAATTTGCTCAATAAATAAATAAATAAATTTATTTCTATACCGCCCTTCTCCCGAAGGACTCAGGGCGGTGTACAGCCTATTAAAAAACACAAAGACAAACATCAGTTAAAAATAATTAAAATTATTACATAATTCGGCTGAAATTTAAAACCCCAAAAATTTAAAACCCAATTTAAAAATCATTAAATTGATAGCCCGGCTTGGCGGAACAGCAGGGTCTTGAGGGCACAGCGAAATACACGGGGCAGGGGCTCCCACAGAGAAGGCCCTCCCCCTGGGTGTCACCAGCCGACATAACTTGGCAGATGGCATCCTGAGGAGACCCTCTCTGTGGGAGCGGACTGGCTGGTGGGAGGCTGTTTGTGGCAGAAATCGGTCTCGAAGGTACTCGGGTCCTATGCCATGGAGCGCTTTAAAGGTGGTGACCAACACCTTTAAATATACATTTAAGATATTAATACCCTGTTTCCCCTAAAATAAGACATCCCCTCATAATAAGCCCAATCGGGCTTTTGAGTGCATGTGCTAAAATAAGCCCCCCCCCGGAAAATAAGCCCTCCCCAAAAATATTTAAATGCATGCACAGCTGGTCCCCGCCATTTCCTCTGGTTAGGGTTAGGGAGACAGAGCTGGAAATCCGGTAAGACGGCAGGAGGAGCCCCGTCTTGTTCCACGCGCCCCAAAATAATAAGACCTCCCTGAAAATAAGGCCAAGCGCTTCTTTTGGGGTTCAAAAAAAATATAGGACAGGGTCTTATTTTTGGGGAAACACGGTACATATTAATAGTAATGTGCAGATTTGCTCTACAAATATAAACTTAAAGTATTAATACATGTTAATAGACATGTATACATTTGCTCGATAAATAAAATAAATAAATGTCTGCCGGGAAGCTTTTCCACATCACAAAAAGCAAGGCCTCTTTACCTCGACTCAGAATCTCCCCAAAACGTGGGATTCGCACTCCCTTCCCTCTAAGTCAATTTAGGATTTAGGAAAGTCACAAAGCTAATTTCCGGAGAGAGAAAGATGAGCCATTTCTGAGTGGAGACACAAGGGGATTATTTGGTCCAGAAGGGCATATTTTTTTAAAAAAATAAATAGAAAAGATACATCCTGTGTTCATGTTGTGAATTTTCTAATGAGAAGTACTTGAGCACGAAATGGAATAATGTGGCTCTTTTCAGATACAACGGAGTTCAATTTGCAAGTGGGGTTGGATGGCATGACAATTAAGGAGGCCCAGAGCTTGTTTGAAAATGGCATCCGAGTGGTGCTCTTCAGCAATTTTTCATCAAACCGGAGAGGGGACCGGAGTGGAGGTGCCCCAAGGTTCAATTCCGTAGCCTCATTTTTGCCCCCCTCTCCTTTTTTTTTTAATTGCTCGGTTGAAAAGGCAGAAGGGAACGCTTATCAAACCTGCAGGCTTGAAATACACATTCAAAACAGCCCCTCCTGCCTTCGGTACAACGGGCTGCAAAACTCACAGCGTGCAATTTTGCAAATGCAATTTCTCCACGAAGGAAGCAGGAATTAAATACGCAGGTGTACGACGGGAGGATCCCTGACCTGACAATCGTGCTTGTAAAAAGCAATTTTGGAACAGGAGTTTGTACACAAACCAGATAAGAGTCAGAAGTACCATTGGATGAGTCTGCTTAAAGATAGCTTCTGGTTAGATAAAAGTTATTCAAGTAGTATATAATGATAGTTATTATTTATTATATATACAGGTAGTCTTCGACTTAGTGACTGTTCAACGGCCCTGAAAAATAGAATAGAATGGAATGGAATGGAATGGAATGGAATGGAATGGAATGGAATAGAATAGAATAGAATAGAATAGAATAGAATAGAATAGAATAGAATAGAATAGAATAGAATAGAATAGAATAGAATAGAATAGAATCTTTATTGGCCAAGTGTGACTGGACACACAAGGAATTTGTCTTGGTGCATACGCTCTCAATGTACATAAAAGATACATTCATCAAGAATCATAAGGTACAACACTTAATGATAGTCATAGGGTACAAATAAGCAATCAGGATAATCAAAAAAGTGAGCTATGACAGTTTTCCCCACTTACGACTGTTGCAGCATCTCCATGATCACGTGATCAGAATTCAGACGCTTTTGGCAACTGACTCATATTTATGACGCGTCTTGGGATCATGGGATCCCCTTTTACAACCTTCTGACAAGCAAAGTCAACGGGGAAGCCAGATTCACCGAACAACCGGGTTACTAACTTAAAACCTGCAGTGATTTCACTTAACAACTGTGGCATGAAAGGTTGTAACGTGAGGCAAAGGTCACTTAACAAATGTCTCACTTAGCAACAAAACTTTGGGGTTTAATAGAATAGAATAACAGAGTTGGAAGGGACCTTGGAGGTCATCTAGTCCAACCCCCTGCTTAGGCAGGAAAGCCTATAGCATTTCAGTCAAATGGTTATCCAACATCTTCTTAAAAACTTCCAGGGTTGGGGGCATTCATAATTTCTGAACGCAAGTTGTTCCACTGAGCCTGGATAGCTCTGCAGACAAAGGCACTTTTTTTTTTTTTTTTAATTGATTTATATGCCGCCCTTCTCCGGAGACTCAGGGTGGCTTACAATGCGCTAAGCAATAGCCTTCATCCTTTTGTATATTTATACAAAGTCAGCTTATTGCCCAATTTAAAAAAAAATTGTTCTCACTGTCAGGAAATTTCTCCTTAGTTCTAAGTTGCTTCTCTCCTTGATTAGTTTCCACCCATTGCTTCTTGAACTACCCTGTCTAATCATGGTCATAAGTTGAGGACTACCTGGACTGTTACTGTTCCTCTGTATAATTTTTCTCATTTTGCAAAAAAAAAAAAAAAAAAAAAAAGGAATCTCTCCACCTAACATGGTTGACCTTTTCCTGAAACCTCCTGGAAATTTATTCTGCAATTTTGCAGGGTTGTTACTTCTGCCAAAGAAGAGACCAGACTGCCCTCTGTCAGAAATGGTGTAAGGTCTCCTGCTTGGTTTAAAGGGGGGAGGAGGGGGTTGGACTAGATGACCTACAAGGTCCCTTCCAACTCTGTTAATCTGTTAAAAACTCCGTTTTAAATATCCTGTCATGATTTTTTCTCCGCTGAGCTGCTACCGCCACCTAGTGGACGACGAGGCGTGACGCAAACCTACAATTTTGGATTACAATTTGATTTATTTATTTATTTATTTTGCACAGGTCTTTTCGGTCGTGTCTCTTTAAGATTTTCCAGGGCTGCAGGAAACCGGAAGTGTGAGTGGCACACGAGGCGAATTTCTCCTGCTCTTTGCTTCTGTTCCTGCTTCTATGGCTTTTTTCTACTGCCTGGATGGGAGAGAATAAGAAATAGAGAGAGAGAGAAAGAAAGGGAGTTTTCGGAGCCTGCTCCTCTTTGCAAAGTTTGCAGGTCAGTAGGAAAAGCCGGTTGCCAACGTTTTCCCTGGCCACTGCTCTTCTGCCTTTTGTGCATGCAATTGCTTAGTGGTCCAGTCTTTCTCAACCTTGGAAGCTTGAAGATGGGTGGACTTCAACTCCCAGAATCCCCCAGCCAGCAGCACTGGCTGGGGGATTCTGGGAATTGAAGTCCACCCATCTTCAAGCTTCCAAGGTTGAGAAAGACTGGCTTAGTCAAAAGAACTGTTGTTTAAATGGGCTATCAAGGTAAAGATTTTAACTGGGTTTTAAAAAATGGGATTTTAAATTTGGGGTTTTAAATTGAGCCTATCATTTAATAATTTTAAATTTTGTCTGTCTTTGTGCTTTTAATCAGGCTGTACACCGCCCTGAGTCCTCCGGGAGAAGGGTGGTATAGAAATAAAATTAATAATAATAATAATAATAATAATAATAATAATAATAATAATAATAATAATAATAATATAAAAAAAAAGAAAAAAGTGTGGTTCATTGACATTGCAATACCTGGTGATGCACAAATTGAAGATAAGCAGCAAGAAAAAATCACAAAGTACTGGGACTTACAAATTGAAGTTGAGCGACTGTGGAAAAAGAAACCGTGTGTTGTCCCGATTGTAATTGGAGCCCTCGGAGCAATACCCAAAGGGCTACCCCGCTATTTAGAAATTCTAAATTTGCTGGACTTGAACATTTTGACTCTACAAAAAACCACCTTACTCGGAACAGCTTACATCCTCCGACGATACCTTAACAGTTCCTAGGTCCTTGGTTAGGACTCGAGCTGCTGAGCTATTAACCAGCCTCAAAGGCTGTGAATCTCACTAAAGATTAACCAATAAATAATAATAATAATAATAATAAATACACATGCTGGAAAGAGGGGGGGAAAAGATTAAATCTAGAGCAGTGTTTTTCAAGCTTAGCGACTTTAAGAGGACGGGACTTCAATTCCCAGAATTCCCCAGCCAGCCCTGCTGAATTCTGGGAGTTGAAGTCCACACTGCTTAAAGTTGCCAAGCTTGAAAAACATCGATTTAGGGATTATATTCCTGGTCAGAGCTCACACACAAAAGGGAAAAGGTCTGGGTACAGGTAGTCCTCAAATAACAACCACAATTGAGCCCAAAATTTATGTTGTTAAGTGAGAAAACTGTTAAGTGAGTTTTGCCCCATTTTACGACTTCCTGCTACAACTTCATTTGTTAAGTGAACCACTGCAGTCGTTAAATTAGTAACACGGTTGTTAAGTGAATCTGGCTTCCCTCTTGACTTTGCTTGTCAAAAGCAAAAGTCACTGTTTTCAGTGATGTTCTAACTTTGAGCCATCACTAAATGAACTGCTGTAAGTCGAGGACCACCTGCATTGCATTGTAAGCAGCTGGCATTCCTCTGAATACAGGAAGTCCTCGACTTACAGCAGTTCATTTAGTGACCGTTGGAAGTTACAACAGCACTGAAAAAAATTACTTACAACCGTTGCTGCATTCCCATGGTCTCGTGATTTACATTTGGATGCTTGACAACTGACTCACACTTATGACGGTCGCAGTGTCCCAGGGTCATGTGATCCCCTTTTGCGAACTTCTGACAAGCAAAGTCAAGAGGGAAGCCATATTCACTTAACAACCGTATTACTAATTTAACGACTGCAGTGATTCCCTTAACAAATGTGAGAAAAGCCATAAAACGGGGCAAAACTTACTTAACAAATTTCTCACCTAACAATGTATATTTTGAGTTCAGTTTTGGTCGTAAGTTCAGGACTACCTGTAATAGGACGATTTTTATCTTCATACATAGCTTAGAAACTATTTAAGTAAATTAAAGCAGGCCTCCTGGGAAACAGAGCTTGGCAGGGGGGCGGGGGGAAAAGATTTCCTGAGAGTAAAATTTGGTAAAGATTGTGACAGAACAGGACAGAATCTATTGATAGTAATGTTAAGACCTAATGTTTATAGCTGTTTAGCCATTAAAGTGTTAATGTTTTAATTAAAATGTTAATTCAGTTTAAAGCCTAATTAAAAGCTAATGTTTTTAACTGTGGCTTAATTGTAAGACTAAATATAATTGGAGGATGGCTTCATAAATCACACAGAGATTTAAAATAAGCCTTTCTCTGCCTAGACATTCTAGGCCAGTGTTTCTCAACCTTGGTAGCTTGAAGATGGGTGGACTTCAACTCCCAGAGTCCCCCAGCCAGCAACGTTGGCTGGGGGATTCTGGGAGTTGAAGTCCACCCATCTTCCAGCTTCCAAGGCTGAGAAACACTGTTCTAGGCAGATGTGTGGACTTCAATTCCCAGAATTCTTAGCACAGACTTGTTTGTGCTAGTTGGAGAATTCTGGGAACTGAAGTTCAGATAAATGGGGGACAGAAATTATAGTAAAATGAACAGCCTGAATTACTAATTACTACTAATCCACAATGTGGTTAGTTTGATGTTGGCGTTAAGAGTGTTGTATAAGAGCAGCTACTGCAGCTGTGTAAACCATGGTTTAGAGCTTACCAGGATTCTTGTGATTTAATTCAATAGACTATAACCACATGTGAGACGCTGTGGTATATCTCTGGAACTTGACTCTTTTTTTAATTACTTTAATTAAAATACTCTTTGGATTACTTTAACAACATTCTAGGACACGTTGTGTTGCAAAATAACCTTTAAGTAGGTTGACTTTAAAAAAATTAGAACGGAGAGAAAGTGGGGAAGCCAGCAGTTAAAATAAAAACCGTATAATTCTACAGATAAAATCCAATTGTTTTTATTTTTATTGTTGATAGGTCTGTTTGTACTATATTTTGAATAGTTCCTCCTTCAGTGAGCCCAGCATGGATCCTTCTTTCTATTGCTCTCTAATGGCTTCAATTAATTTTATTCATGTATTTATTTACTTATGTCTTGCGTTTATTATTTTTACAAAAACTCAAGGCAGCCTATGTACCTAATATTCTTTCCTCCTCCTATTTTCCCCGCAACAACAACGCTGTGAGGTGGATTGGGCGGAGAGTGACTGGTCTAAAGTCACCCAGTCAGCTTTCATGCCTAAAGCAAGACTACAACTCCCAATCTCCCAGTTTCTATCCTCGTGCCTTAATCACTAGATCACACAGGTCTACAACGACAGTCAATACTTTTATCTATAAAATGACAATTATCCAAATCAAATCTAAAACTAAAATCTGCTTAATTCACACGGACCTGAATAATCCTCCATTGCTTGAATACACATCCAGTTATAGGTTTAAACTCACTGAGGATTTGCTGTTAAAGCTTAAAAGAAGACAACATGTTTAAACTATGGTTCTAATACTTTTTTAAAAATTTATTTATTTATTTATTTTTATATGCCGCCCTTCTCCGGAGACTCAGGGCAGCTTACAATGCATTAAGCAATAGCCTTCATACTTTTGTATATTTTATACAAAGTCATCTTATTGCCCCCACAAACCGGGTCCTCATTTTACCCACCTTAGAAAGGATGGAAGGCTGAGTCGACCTTGAGCCTGGTGAGAATTGAACTCGCAGTAATTGCAGGCAGCTGGATGTTAAATGCTGCCTTAGTAGGAGGCATTAGCCTCCTATGCCACTCAGGCTCCTTACTTACTACTTACTTACTACTTACACCATGATAATTCACCCCTAGTCCAGTTTCTGCCTTAAAACCATTGTTCGCTTAATTGTGTTTTCCCATTTGAGTGCAATTTTATTTGTATGTTGATTTATTTTGATCCGCCTGGGTTGTCTCACTGCAACTCTGGGCAGCTGACAAAGTTAAAAGTCAATAAATGATAAATCATAGTCAGTTCAAATGTGGAGATGGTGTTTGTAGATTCATGGTATGGCAGGTAGGATATGGACTTAATTTAGAAGGCCAGAATAGATGGGAGCTATATAAGTAGTCTAGAGTAGGGGGTATCAAATTCACGTCGTCATTTTTTTTCCCCTTTGCTAAACCGGCCGTGGCCATTGTGTGACATATCCGGCCTGTGGGCTGTGAGTTTGGCAGCCCTGGTCTAGAGCCATGTTTCTCAACTTGAAGATGAGTGGACTTCGACTCCAATGAATTCCCCTCATCGTCAAGCTGCCAAGGTTGAGAAACATTGCTCTACAGCAGGGGTGTCAGACTGGATTTCTTTGAGGACTGGATCAGCATTATAGTTCTCCGTGGGCCTGCGGGGGGAGGCATATGGGATGGATGCCCCTGCAGCACCGTTCCAGCCAAAAACGGGGCGCAGGGGGTCGTGAGGCCCTCACGCGGCCCGTTTTTGGCCTCCCTGGGCTCCAGCAGCACTCTGCCGGCCAAAAATGGGCCCCACGGAGGCCCCACGAGGCCCGTTGTCAGCCTCCCCGGCCTCCAGCATCCTTCTGCCAGCCAAAAACGGGCCATGCAGAGACCTCACGAGGCCTCCGCATGGCCCGTTTTTGGCTGACAGAGTGATGTTGGAGGCTGGTGAGGCCGAAAACGGGCCGTGTGGGGGCCTCGTGTGCCGGTTCTTTGGTATTTCCAGGTCGGCCCTGCAGGCAGATTTAAGCACCCCGTGGGCCTTGAGTTTGCTCTACAGTGCTGAATATCTAAATATGTGTTAGTTCTAAGAATGATTTGATAAGACTGGTTCCTAATTCATCCTGTTCTGATTCTTCTTTAATAAAATAGACTACAGTCATTGGAAGAACATACAAATGTGCACACGCACTTTTCCATTTGGCATCAAGTCACTTCTGTTGTGTTTTATCTGACCGGAAGCAGCAAACATGGCTGCGTCTTCCCTGATTTGCTCTGAAACTATAAGCAGGTAAGTGTATCTTTGGATCTTCGGTTTTTGAAAGGGACTAAAAACAACAGATGGAATCTTATCAAAGAGAGTTCCAACCTAGAATGACAGGTAGTCCTTCATTTACAACCACAATTGAGCCCAAAAATCCTGTTGCTAAGCGAGACAGTTGTTAAGTGAGTTTTGCCTCATTTTACAACCTTTCTTGCTGCATTTGTTAAGTAACATGGTTGTTAAGTCAATCTGGCTTCCCCATTGACTTTTACGCCTCAGACGGGCGTAAAAGGTGATCGCGCGACCCCGGGACACTGCAATTGTCATTAAATAAGAATCAGTTACCAAGCATCTGATCATGTGACTATGCTGCAGCAATCATAAGTGTGCAAAAATGGTCGTAAGTCACTTTTTTTGGTGCCATTGTAACTTCAAACGGTCACTAAATAAACTGTTGTAAGTCAAGGACTATCTGTATGGAGAAATTTCCTCTCGGAACAATTAATCAGTGAAATGGCTTGCCTCCAGAAGTTGTGGATGCTCCATCACTGGAGGTTTTCAATAAATAAATAAATAAATAAAAAAATAAAAAATTAATTTATTTATTTATTTATTTATTTATTTATTTATTTATTTATTTATTTATTTACTTATTTCTATACCGCCCTTCTCCCGAAGGATTCAGGGCGGTGTACAGCCTATTAAAAACACAAAGACAAACATCAGTTAAAAAATAATTAAAATTATTACATAATTTCGGCTCAGATTTAAAACCCCAAAATGTAAAACCCAATTTAAAAATCATTATATTGATAGTCCAGCTTGGCGGAACAGCAGGGTCTTGAGGGCACAGCGAAATACCCGGAGTCGGAGATCTTACGCATTTCCGGGGGCAGTTCATTACATAGGGCAGGTTCTCTCACAGAGAAGGCCCTCCCCCTGGGTGTTGCCAGCCGACACAACTTGGCCGATGGCACCCTGAGGAGACTCTCTCTTTTGGAGCGGACTGGCCGGTGGGAGGCTATTGGTGGCAAAAGTCGGTCTCGAAGGTACCCGGGTCCTATGCCATGGAGCGCTTTAAAGGTGGTAACCAACACCTTGAATCGCACCCGGAAGACCACTGGGAACCAGTGCAGCTCGTGCAGGAGGGGTGTCACATGGGCATAACAGTTTGCACCCATAACCACCCGCGCGGCCGCATTCTGGACCAGTTGGAGCCTACGAGTGCTCTTCAAGGGGAGCCCCATGTAGAGAGCATTACAATAGTCCAGCCGGGAGGTGACAAGGGCGTGAGTGACCGTGCGCAAGGCATCCCGGTCCAGAAAGGGCTGCAACTGGCAGAGATTGGACAATCGTTTGTCTGAAATGGTATAGGAAAGTGATGGCTAACCTTTTTCTCTTCGTGTGCCAAAAGCACGCGTGTGCACATGTGACAGCGCGCGTGCGTGTCGGCACCCATAATGCAATGTGCACCCCCATGCATGCACACACGACCCCCCCACCCCCCACGCATGTACACATGACATCCCATGTGCCCCCTTGCCCTCCTCGCGCATGCGTGCGAGGAGTGGGATTCAAAAATTTTAGCAACCTGCACCACGGCCGGGGTGGGGTGGGGGCTTTTCGCCCTCCCCAGGCTCCGGAGGCTTTCCTTGAGCCTCTGGGAGGGGAAAAACGGCTTCCCCTGGGCTCCAGAGGCCCTCTGGAGGCCAGAAACAGACCTCTTTCCGCACTTCCAGAACACACGCAGTGCTTTCCCCCCCCTCCACGCTCCCCCCCTCCACGCACGCACACATGACATCCCATGTGCCTCCTTGCCCTCCTCGCACATGCGTGCGAGGAGTGGGATTCAAAAATTTTAGCAACCTGCACCATGGGTGGGGTGGGGGCTTTTCGCCCTCCCCAGGCTCCGGAGGCTTTCCTTGAGCCTCTGGGAGGGGGAAAACGGCTTCCCCTGGCTCCAGAGGCCCTCCGGAGGCCAGAAACGGACCTCTTTCTGCACTTCCAGAACACACACAGTGCTTTCCACCCCCTCTGCGCTCCCCCCCTCTACGCATGCATGTGCGCCCCCACCCCCTGTGCATTTGCCTGCGACCCCTGCGCATGTGCCCACGTTTCCCGCATGCCCCCACTCCCTGCGCATTCCGAAAATCAGCTGGCTGGCAGAAGGCATGCACGGGCATATGCAGTGGAGCTGAGCTCTGGTGATGGCTCTCGTGCATGCCATAGGTTTGCCATCACGGGTATAGGATCTCCTACTCGAGCAGGGGGTTGGACTAGAGCAGCGGTCACCAACTGGTGGTCCGTGAGAAAATTTTGATGGTCCGCAGAAAAATTATTTGCATTTTTTATATTGCACTAAATCAGGGGTCCTCAAAACTACAGCCCCTGGGCTGGATACGTGCAATGAACGTTTGTGTTGCTGCAGAGAGTCTTCCCCTTTGGGGAAAACGGCTTCCCCTGGCTCCAGAGGCCCTCCGGAGGCCAGAAACGGACCTCTTTCTGCACTTCCAGAACACACACAGTGCTTTCCACCCCCTCTGCGCTCCCCCCCTCTACGCATGCATGTGCGCCCCCACCCCCCTGTGCATTTGCCTGCGACCCCTGCGCATGTGCCCACGTTTCCCGCATGCCCCCACTCCCTGCGCATTCCGAAAATCAGCTGGCTGGCAGAAGGCATGCACGGGCATATGCAGTGGAGCTGAGCTCTGGTGATGGCTCTCGTGCATGCCATAGGTTTGCCATCACGGGTATAGGATCTCCTACTCGAGCAGGGGGTTGGACTAGAGCAGCGGTCACCAACTGGTGGTCCGTGAGAAAATTTTGATGGTCCGCAGAAAAATTATTTGCATTTTTTATATTGCACTAAATCAGGGGTCCTCAAAACTACAGCCCCTGGGCTGGATACGTGCAATGAACGTTTGTGTTGCTGCAGAGAGTCTTCCCCTTTGGGGTCTTTTTGTGTGGGTCAGAGGGGGGCAGAAATTCTGACTTGGGGTCTGCTTCAGCCTCCTGGTGTGGGGCTTTGGGCGAAGGCTGGAGGGAAGCGCCACTGGTGGCAAGGAGTCGGAGGGCCTTGTTCCAGTGGGACTGCATCATGGCCTGGAACTGGCTGACCATCTCAGCCCGCTGAGCCTCCAGGCGCTGGTACCTGGCCTTCACTCCCTCAGGTCTTCCCTCTGCTTGGAAAGCCTATGCTCCTAGTCCTCAGTGAGGTGCTTCTGCTGAGTCTTCTTCTCGGTCAGATCCAATTTGAACTGATCCAGCTGTTTTGCCAGCTCTTTCTCGTGGTGGCTGCTTAGCTCCAACAACTGCTTCCTCTTGGGGCCCTAAGGAGCCTGGGCGGGCAGGCGAGGAGTGGCTGGGAGGGGCGGTGAGTAGAGGCTGGCAAGGTGCCCCTCGATGTGAGTGACATCAAGTTGGCCATGCCCACCCAGTCACATGACTACCTAGCCACGCCCACCTAGCCAGTCATTAGGCAGATCGTATTAGTGGTCCGCGAGATTTAAAATTATGAATTTAGTGGTCCCTCAGGACCAAAACGTTGGGGACCCTTGGACTAGAGGATCTCCAAGTTCCCTTCCAATTCTATTACTTTGTAATTAAAAGTGCAGCATTTCTCTGTTACCAGTTTGCTTTGCGTTGAAATCTGGACAAGAAACTCTCCTTCATTCTTCCTTTTTATTTTCTGCATTCTTAGGGTGAGCTCCGTCCTCAACCGAGAGGTGAAGCAATTTGGAAAGAAGTACATGTTTGACGGAAATGAGGAAACTAGTTGGAACTCAGACCAGGTGAAGTCTTATAAGTAACATCCTACTTTTGCCTGGAGCATTCACACACACTTCTTGGGAACCTTACAATTCATTTGCGAGCTAGACCAAAGTTTGTTTATCTATATAGATAAAAGTGAAATACCACTCATGCATTATCGCGAAATCTCCAGAACCGTAAAGCCTACAAACTTGAAATTTGGCATGTATGTTCCTCTTGGCTTCTAGGTACTCGCTAAGAAAGGATTTTTTGAATTAGTTTCTTTTATTTTTCAAACAAAAAAACAACATAAAAGCATCATCCTTTCAAACAATTACAGACAGTTTTTCGGTCGATTAAAATCTTTTCGTGCTCACAAACTCTTCAAGATATCAATATATCGATATATGACACATGTTTCTTTTCCACTAAGAAAAAAACAAATTTTTACACATTTTATCTTAGTTTCATTTCATATATCATATTTCATCTCCATGTTTTATTATCTATCCATTGATAAAATAAATCCCATATCAAATAATATTGTTTATCTTCCTGTTCTCTTATTTCAAATGTCAGTTTACTCATTTCAGCACAATCCAACATTTTCTTAATAATTTCTTCATCAATAGGTATCTTCTCTCCACTAAGAAAGGATTTTTTGAAATGACCATCAGATCATTAGTATTTCTTATATTATTATTAACACGCTCTGATGCTAAGGAGTTAGACTGAGGGAGAGAAGGGAAGAGGAGAGGAGAGGCTTCTGTGGGGCAAGGCTGAGGGAGAGAAGAGAGGAGAGGTCAATGGTACCTACTCATTAATTTTCAAGCTGTAAGTGTTGATTTATCAAGCCCGATCACATAGTTTCCTAGCAGAGCATGGGTATCCAGCTAGTTTATTAGATTAGTGAGTGACTGGCCCAAATTGGGGAATTTATTATAAGAGTCCACACACTTTAAAGGTTGCCAACACTGAATTAGGCTGGTGCAGCTGCCATTTCGTGTGTGTGTGTGTGTGTGTGTGTGTGAGTGAGTGTGTGTGTGTGTGTGTGTGTGAGAGAGAGAGAGAGAGAGAGATCTGTGTGAGGAAGGAAGAGAGGAAGAGAACATGGACAGGAACCTTTCCTTTTAATAATATCTGCCCTTCTGTATTTTTCTATATTTGAATTTCTCTTAAACTGGTGATGTCCTGTTTTTGCTGTATTAGGGTGCCATCCAGTGGCTGACAATGGAATTTCCTCAGACTGTCCGGGCGTCTCAAATTCAGATTCAGTTCCAGGGGGGCTTTGCAAGCCGAAAATGCATTCTACAAGGTAAACACCTCACCCACAGTTAAAAATACATGTCACTGCTCAGTTTTTTTCTATCTGACAGATAGAGGTCTCTGTGTGTGTTTTACATATTTAAATGTATTTAACACAATTTGTGTTATGTATTTTACATATTTAAGTGCATTTAAATATGGGTATTTGCCATACCCATATGACCTGGGTATTTGCAGGACCGCCTTCTGCCGCCGATAGCCTCCCACCGACCAGTACGCTCCCATAGAGAGGGACTCCTCAGGGTGCCGTCAGCCAGGCAAAATTTTAAAAAAATTAAATTTTGTATTGGTATGTGTTTTAATTCTGGCTGTGCACTGCCCTGAGTCCACTAGGAGAAGGGCGGTATACAAATTGAATAAAATAAATAAATAAATAAATTTAATGTGATGGTGTTAGGTTGCAAAGCGAAGGGCCTGGATTTGAGACCTGAGCGCTGCGCAACGGGTGAGCTCTTATTACTTGTCCCAGCTCCTAGCAGTTTGAAAGCATGCAAATGCGAGTAGATAAATAGGTACCACTTCTGTGGGAAGATCACAGCGTTCCATGCGTCTCGGCCTACAGTCATGCCAGTCTTTGATCACATTATGGTCACATTTCCTGACAGTTAGAACAATTAATCAGTGGAACAACTTGCCTCCAGAAGTTGTGAATGCTCCAACACTGGAAATTTTTAAGAAGAGATTGGGCAACCATTTGTCTGAAGTGGTGTAGGATTTCCTGCCTAAGCAGGGGGTTGGACTAGAAGACCTCCAAGGCCCCTTCCAACTCTGTTATTGTTATGCTAAACAACCAGTTGTAAGTTGAGGACTATCAGTACTGTCTCTTCCTCTGTGTTTTTCTTTTCCAAATTCTTTTCATTGTGAAATGAGGGGTGCCTGATAATACCAGTGAAAAACACTTCCCAAATATTTTCACAACTGCACATCTTGTTTTTCTGCATTCAAATTTCCAAAGGTGGCCGGAAAGGAGAAAATCTCTCCACTGTTGCTGAAGTCTACCCTGAAGATAACAATTCTCTCCAGATATCCTTTACCAACTAATTCAGAACGCCAAGAACCAAAATAACAAAATGTGTGGAGCAATAGCATTTAAGATTTATATACCGCTTCACTGTGCTTTACATCCCTCTCTAAGCAGTTTACAGAGTCAGCCTATTGTCCCCAACAATTTGGCCCCTCATTTTACCAACCTCGGAAGGATGGAAGGCTGAGTCAACCTTGAGCCTGGTGGGATTCGAACTGCCAAGTTGCAAGCAGCCAGCAGTCAGCAGTCAGCAGAAGTAGCCTGCAGTACTGCACTCTGACCACTGCACCACTGAGGCTCATATGCAGGATTTTCTGGGGTGATTGCTGATTTGTTTCCTATTTTGTTCTTCTGGCATCTTTCCCTGTGTTCCCACAACCTTTTTTATCTACATGCTAGTTTCCCCATGTTGTGAATGTTCCTCCCTGCCCTACGGATAAGTTCTTCAGTAGATTAAGCCTTAGCCTTAGTATTGCTAAGCCTTAGCCTTCGTATTGCAGGCTGACTCTGCTCACTGCCAGCAGTTTGATCCTCACCGGCTCAAGATTGACTCAGACTTCCATTCTTCCGAGGTCAGTAAAATGAGGACTCAGATTGTTGGGGGCAAGATGCTGACTCCGTAAAAGAGGGCTGTAAAGCACTATGAAGCAGTATATAAGTCGTAAGTGCTATTGCTATTTCTGTGCACGTTATAAAGATGCATTGCTGTCATAAGAAATAATTTTAGGTACATCGTGTAACCCCTCCATAAAGGATCTTCATCCCCAGTTGTGTTTATTATGGGGATTGTATTTCTATTCTATTTCTATTTCTATTCACATCATCAGTTCCTTAACTCCTACTTCCTCTACAGTTTCCCATTTGAAGCAGAACCACTGGATAAACTTAAAATTACTTTTCAAAACAGCTCGGATTTCTTTGGGCGAATTATCGTCTACCATCTCGACATCCTTGGGCAGAAACTTTGATAGAGAAGGAAGCAAAAGCTGAAGGACTTGTGAATCCTGGAAGACTGGACTGCCATCTTCAGAAATGGTGTAGGGCAGAGGTTTTTAAACTTGGCAGCTGGCTGGAGAATTCTGGGAGTTGAAGTCCACAAATCTTAAAGCTGACAAGTTTGAAGACCTCTGGTGTAGGGTCTCCTGCTTGGACTAGATGACCTACAAGGTCCCTTCCAACTCTGTTAATCTGTTAAATACCCGTCTGGGACTTCTAAGATGGTGCGAACTAGATTTGACGGATTTCAGTTTGGTGCTTTGATAGCAAATGAACTTCCTTCCTTCCCGTTTTTCTGCTATGTCAGGAGCACTTTGAACAGCTGGAAAGAAAACAGTTTCTCTCTTGGATGTGCCATTAGAGCTTTTGTTAAAGAAAAACTACATTTTCCGTGCTGAAAGGAAAGGGCCTCTGGTTCTAACTTGAACATCTGTGTCAGAACCTAGGCTTCCTGATATAGTAAAAAGCACACAATTAGTCCCGAAAACTCTTCTTTTTTTTTTTTTTATTTTAACGGCTGTGAATTCCTTTCATTCACAGCAGGTGCTGAATCACCAAGAGTTTATAAATAGTCCAACAGAACTCTGCCACAGACCTTCGGATAAGGCTGGTAAACATCCACCTTTATCTTCTTTGACACGCTGCCAAAGACCTAATTGGCAATTACCTTGGCAAGGCCACATGGAAACACAGAGTCAAAAACGGAGCTTCAAAGTACAAACCGACACCATCCACAAAGTTGCTTCTTGCAAAGGCCCACGTGCCTTTGCTCTTCCTTTATGTCTTATGGGAGGGATCAATCATCCCCAAGCCTTACTCCCGAGTCGTCCCTTTTGTTTAAACTGTCCTTGCCTTCTGGCAGCTCTGTGCATGCGCGCACTAGGAACAGGCTCCCCCTGTTCCCCTGCCTCTCTGATGTCCGACTCTGGAGGCTCCGGAGTCTGCACATAACTCCCAGATGGCCCTGGCCCCATCTCTGCCTCCGATGCAGAGCCCTCGATCGAGCCTTCCCCAGACTCCAGGACTGGCCCATGTTCCTCCCCAGCGTCCTCAAGCTGCTGGTGGATCACAACAATCTGAGCTAGTACTCAAATTACATCCCTGAAAAAAGTGACTTACAGCAGATCCCTACACATGACCATTGCAGTGTTCCTACAATCACAGGATCAGAATTCAGGTGTTTGCCAAACCACATGTCCCAAAGGTGCTTCTTTCAAGAGGCAACTGGACTTTCTTGTTTTTCTTTGAAGTTGCCTCTTCAAAAAAGCACCTTTGGGACAACCATGACCTGGATGATTGAGAATCTCCATAGACATTTGGCAAATCCTGGCCTAAATCTTCTCCTCTTTTAAATGTAAATCTTAATTTGTTTTTAAATTATTGGGTATTTTAAATTGTCTCAGCCAAATTATTCAATTCGTTTTTATTCTATTTTAAATTTTTGTATTTATGTGTTTTATTCTGTGGCTGTTCACCGTCCTGAGTCCTTCGGGAGTAGGGCGGTATATAAATCCAATAAAATAAATAAATAAATAAACAACTCACATCTAAAATTCTGACTCGCCCCGCCCCCATCTATTCTCTTGCCTCCCAAGTCCCAGCTGATCGGGAGAAAATGGGGATTTTGCAGTAACCTTCCCCTGGATTGGGGAGGGATGGAGATTTTACAGTATCCTTCCCCTGCCACGCCCACCAAGCCATGCCACGCCCACAGAACCGGTAGTAAAAAAATTTGAAACCCACCACTGGTCCATACTCAGGACCATTGCGGTGTCCCAAGGTCATGTGATTCCCTTTTGTGACCTCCTGACAAAGAAAGTCAACAGGGAAGCTAGATTCACTTAACAAACCGGTAACCAATTTATCAACGGCAGTGATTCACTGAACAACAGGGGCAAGGAAGGTCGTAAAATGGGTCAAAACTCACTCAACAAATGTCTCATTTAACAACAGAAATTTTAGGCTCAATTGTGGTTTTAAGTTGAGGGCTACCTGTACAGCATCCAGTTTTGGTCACCATATTGTAAAAAAGATGTGGAGACTCCAGAAAGAGTGCAGAGAAGAGCAACAAAGATGACTAGGGGACTGGAGGGTAAAACATAGGAAGAATGGTTGCAGGAACTGGGTATGTCTAGTTTGATGAAAAGAAGGACTAGGGGAGACATGACAGCAGTGTTCCAATATCTCAGGGGCTGCCACAAAGAAGAGGGAGTCAAGCTCTTCTCCAAAGCACCTGAGGGCAGGGCAAGAAGCAACGGATGGAAACTAATAAGGAGAGAAGCAACTTAGAAGTAAGGAGAAATTTTCTGACAGAACAATCAACCAAAGCTTGCCTTCAGAAGTTGTGGGTGCTTCATCACTGGAGAGCTTAATTAACCGAGGCTTAGCAACTGAAATTATGCTCCCAATTGTAATTCGAGGACTACCTATACATGCAAGCCTAAATCAGATGCATTCATGGAGATGAGAAAGACCAGGAGTAAAATGTAAAAGCAAGACCCCGAAGCAGCTGATTTGAAAATGAAAATCACTAAACAAGCCTGTTACATATATATATATATATATAAATATTTATTTCTGTTAAACAAAAATATTATCTTCAAATCTTGAGAAAGTTTTTCAGTCAGCTTCTTTTGACCCAACCCTGATTCACCCCCAGCAACTGAGGAAACAGCATTTTTTCCCCCTCTCTTCTGCACACATGTAGAGCCAAAGAAGATTTTTGTACAGCTTAAAAGCAAATTTAGCAACTTTTGAGACTTGTGGACTTCAGTTCCCAGAATTCCTCAGCTTGACTATGCTGGCTGAGGAATTCTGGGAGTTGAAGACCACAACTCTTAAGAGTTGCTAAGTTTGGAGGCTCCTGACCGAAAGGAAGGTTCTGCTCAATACAGTTTCCTCCCCCCACCACCACCCCAATTTATGGTTTGGCATTCAGGAAAAATTTCCACAAATCTGCAGGAGAGGTAAATTAGCAATTCCTTGAGAAGAAAATAGGCTTGATATCGGGATCCTGTAACCCACTGTTCAAGAAAGCGGAGTTTTCTTTTGGAAAAACTCAGGTGCTTCTTTCTGTACCCTGTCGTCTGAAAATGCCCGGTCCTGCATCAACTCTGCAGGCTGGCACGGAAGGTGCTCGTCTCAAAAGACCCCCTTCCGTCCACTTCTTTGATTCCGGAGGAGAAAACGGAAATAATCATCACTCGGATGCTTCTCTTTTGTCATCTCTTTCCTTGTTCCGCAATAACTTGAGAATGTGTTTTTCAATCACTTGCTGGACTGGAAAGCAAAGAAGAATTTTTACCGTTGGGAAAAGTATATGCCATACGATCATAAATCTGTCGAGAAGCACTCTTTGCCCGTCTGGGATGATGGGGCTGCTATGAAAGAATTTCCTCCACCTACCCCCAAACCTACCTTTTTTGTGACCCAAAGCCACCGCGAGGTCCATTGGAGTGTAGCCAGAATCAGCTTCGGTGGTAAGGTCTGCGCCACGGGCTGAAAACACAGAGCAAAAAATGGGGGTGTCCCCACATTTATTTATTTATTTATTTTATTGAATTTGTATACCGCCCTACTCCCGAAGGACTCAGGGCGGTGAACAGCCATAGAATAAAACATATAAATACAAAATTTAAAATAAACTAAAACGAATTAAATAATTTGGCTGAACAAATTTAAAACCCCAATAATAAAACCAAATTTAAAATTTCCATTTAAAAAGACTTAGGTCAGGCCAGCTTGATGAAATAGGAAAGTCTTGAGTGCGTGACGGAAGGTACGCAGATCCGGGATCCTCCGTATCTCCGGGGGGAGCTCGTTCCAGATAGTAGGTGCCCCCACAGAGAAGGCTCTCCCCCTGGGGGCCGCCAGTCGACATTGCTTGACCGACGGCACCCGGAGGAGCCCCTCTCTATGGGAGCGTACTGGTCGGTGGGAGGCTATTGGTGGTAGCAGGCGGTCCCGTAAATAACCAGGTCCTAAGCCATGGAGCGCTCTAAAGGTGATAACCAAAACCTTGAAGCATAACCTTGAAGCATCATCGTAACAAGCTAAAACTCACAAATAATTTATAGGGAATGACTAAATCATAGATCATGGACTTCACTGCAGCCAAACTGGGAGTCATTTTGTGGCAACCTAAAAGACCAGGTAAAAACATTGCAGCTGAAGCTTAAATGGGCTGAAATCTGATTCCAGCTTTTAAATTATTTCCAGGTTTAAGCATTTTATTTTTCATGTATGTTACAGATTGTAAAAAACATTGACTCTGAATTCCATCCAAAATGGCCGAACACCGGAGTGTCAGTTTGGGGCAATTGGCTCCATCAAAATTTTATGACCCAGTCAGGAGGAATTCTGGGAGGTAATAATAGTAATAGGTCCCTTGGGCCCTAAAAAGATCCGAGGTGGCGCAGTGGTTAGAGTGCAGTACTGCAGGCTACTTCTGCTGACTGCCGGCAGCCTGCAATTTGGCAGTTCGAATCTCAGCAGGTTCAAGGTTGACTCAGCCTTCCATCCTTCCGAGGTGGGTAAAATGAGGACCCAGATTGTTGGGGGCAAGAGGCTGACTCTGTTTAACCGCTTAGAGTGGGCTGTAAAAGCACTATATATAAGTCTAAGTGCTATTGCTATTGCAATAGATTGCCTTTCTTCCCCCATCCCCATCTCTATTGAAAAACACATTCTGGCATGGGGGATTAGAAGATTAAGCATAGCAGGTGTGTTTGACTTACCTAGCAAGACCTCAACGCATTTCACGTGATTGCCCCGGACAGCATAAAGCAACGGAGTCCCACCATTCTGTAAAGATGGTTGAAAAGGTTAAGCCACAGATGTCCCAATTTGTGGGAGTGTGTGTGTGTGTGTGTGTGTGAGAGAGAGAACATTGGTGCAACTTTTGGTTAGGGAAGTTTCTGCCTCACCAATCTTTACCCTTGGCCACATTTCAGTTCAATTGAAGTCAATGTTCAAAGCAGGGGTGAAATGTAAAATTTGTTACTCCCGGCTCTGTGGGCGTGGCTTGGTGGTGGGGGTACCCACTGGGTGGGTGTGGCCAACTTTTTTTTTTTTTTTAACTTTTCAAAGCATTTTTTTCTAATGCTTTGAAAAGCCTCTGCCGATCAGGCAACTCAGCTGGGATCATCAGAGACTTTTCAAAGCATTTTTTTTACCACCTCTTCAGCTACGAGGTTGCACAAAAAAATGCTTTAAAAAGCCTCTGAGGATCCCAGCTGAGCCGCGCGATGATCAGAGGCTTTTTTTTTTTTACTTTTAAAAGCATTTTTTCGTCGGAAGAGGTTGTAGAAAAAATGCTTTTAAAAGTTAAAAGAAAAAGCCTCTGATGATCATGCGGCTCAGCTGGGCATGGTGGGGGGAGGCCGCAGGGATTTTTGCTAAAGGTTCTCCAAACCACCCGCCGCCATCGCTACCGGATCGGGCGATCCGGTCCGAACCAGGAGCATTTCACCCCTGGTTCGAAGTATC